AGCCGCAGTTTGCCGACCACTGGGTTAGAGTGTTGCCCGTGGACCAAAGGGATTCAGGTTCGGTTCCTGACCAAGTGCCTTATAGGTTTAATCCCCAGCGTGTGGGAGGCAGCCAAAAGCTGTGTCTCTCTCTCACATCTATGTTTCTCTCCCCCTCCCTCCCTTCCGGTGGCCTGTCCTAGCTTCCAATTTCTCTAAAAATCAATGGAAAAAATATCCTCGGGTGAAGATTAACAACAACAACAAAAAGTTTTTTCCCGTGACACTGTGCAATAAAAAATGACATAATTTCAATTTAATGAGAGAGCCTGTGGGTCTCCTTAATTTTCAAAAGAATTAAGCAATTCTGAAAAAAAAAATCACTGTGTCTGCTACTTGCTCTCTGCCCCAAAGATGTGCAGAGCTAAATGGAACCACTTTTGCATCTTCAGACCAACAGTTGCTCATAATGGCCTCTAGCTGGTTGACATTTTTTAGTCAGAAGTAGGATTTTGTCAGCTCCTAATGTTTACAGAAGTCAAGTGTGGGCCGAGTAGACTAGCAAGGCAACAGAAGGGCAGGGGGATATTGGGAGTCCATAAACTTTTTCATTTCAAATGCCTTGAAGTGTCCTCTATCATTATTTTTTTTCTTAGTTTGCTATTTTGTGAAGGCTGTATCTTCCCTCTGGTTTCAACCAAGTAAGGGCAGTTTTATTTTATTTTATTACTAGAGGCCCGGTGCAAGACATTCGTGCCCTGTGTGTGTGGGGGGGTGTCTCCTCAGCCTGGGCCTGTGACCTCTCGCAGTTCAGGACCCCTCAGGGGTTGTCTGCCTGCCGTGGGGAGTGGGCCTAAGCCGACAGGCGGACAACCCCCAAGGGGTCCTTAGTGCTGCCACAGAGGTGGGAGAGGCTCCTGCCACCACCCCTGCACTCACCAGCCATGAGCCTGGCTTCTGGCTGAGCAGCACTCCCTCATGGGAGCACACTGACCACCAGGGGGAAGTGCGTCTCATAACAATGAGTCGTTCCACTCTTCAGTCGATTTGCTGATTAGGCTTTTAGTATATCAGATTTATTTATTTACTTATTTATTGTTAATCATCACCTGAGGATATTTGTCCATCCATTTTTAGAGAGAGAGTGGAAGGGAGGGAAAGTGAGAAAGACAGAGAGAGAGAACTATTGATGTGAGAAAGACACCTCAAGTGGTTGCTTCCAACATGCGTTCTGACCAGGACGAGGGAGTGAACCTGCAACCCAGGTACAGGCACTTGACCAGGCATCAAACCCCTTAAACACTGAGCCACACTGGCCATGGCTTAGGGCAGTTTTAAATGAGTATTTGTTGCTTCCGTGACAAGAGTAAGTTTCCAGAGAGAAAGCAGCATTTTGACTCTAAGGAGCTTAAAGCAATTCCTCTTGCTCAGAAGGAAAAGTACTTGCCAACACACTGGTTCCACTGGTAGTGCTGGAGGTAGCCCTGCGGGCAGCTGCACCGGTAGCCCCCGATGATGTTCTGGCAGCCGTGCTGGCAGCGGTGGTTTCCTTCACACTCGTCCACGTCTGAAAAAAGGAGGTGCAGTCGCCTTTAAGCCACATTCCTACTTGTCTCAGAGGCATTCTCTGAAGCAACATTTATATGTGTGCTAAAGTGAAAGCCATTTTCAAAGGAAATCTGACCCTGAAAAAAATTATTCCACGGTTGTTGATTTTTGTTTGTTTGTTTTCTGAGCTAGATTTTTAAAAATTTAGTTTTCCATTACAGTTGACATACAATATTACATATTGTCCAACCCAGTGATTAGACACTTAGATAACTCATGAAGTGATCACTCTGATTAGTACCCATTATGGTTATCACTATATTGTTGACTATATTCCCTATGCTGTACTTTACATCCCCATGACTGTTTTTACTTTTAAAAATTACTCCACCACCCAAATCTTTAAGAATATCTACTCTGGAGGTTTGTTAAGTTTAAGGAGAAAAATATTCGGATATCCCTGGTAAAGTCTACAAATAAAAAATGATGAAGAAATTAATGCAAAGCACACAGGCACTTTATGGGTTAGCGGTGTAAATTATTTATATTTGCTTACTTGTACCAGAATTAGAAACCAAAAAATGTCAATACAAAGGTAAATTGCTAAAAAAAATGGTTTAAACTTTTAATTATACATTATCAGAAGGGCTTTCCTCATATGTTTAAACCACATTGGGGGAATCCTTTCATGACTGAATCCAATGACCAGAAAATTAATGAATAAAATTCAGGAATCTAGTTATTTTTCTTGACTTTTCTTATTCAATTAAATGAATAACTAGGCAGAAATACCTAGGAAAGGCATGGTTATCAACACAGTCAAGCATGAGAACAAAAGACGGGATTGCTAAGGTATGGGAGCTGTGCAAATCCTGTCTTCAGGTGCTCAGGTGTGATATCACATAGAGGATGATGATGAAGGTGTTGACAGTCACACAGGCCCCTGAGAGGGACCCACCAGCTGGATGGAGCTTGAGGGCCCTACCCACCTTCACAGCTGGCGCCACTCTGATCCAGTGAGAATCCCCGCTGGCATTCACAGGTGAAGCTCCCAGGAGTATTCTGGCAAATGCCCTTGGACCCACACAGGTTGATGTCCGAGGTGCACTCATTGTTATCTGTAAGAGACAGAGTAGGTAAGGGTGGGGGGAGGAATCCCCTGAAGCTCTCTTTCTGTTATTTAAAAGGAAGAGAGATGGATGATTCACTTAGAAAAGACCCAAAAAGGCCTGTAACTGCTCACATGTACTTGTTCACATGCACATACACACATATATGTACCCCCATATTTTCCCGAGTTTTTATCTTCTTACTCCAACAACGAAAGAACTTAAAGGAATAGCTATCTCCCACAGAGGGTCCTTTCCTCCCCACTTACCAATGCAGGCAGTGTGGTGCTGGGTAAAGCCAGGAGGACATTTACAAGCGAAGCTGCCAATGGTGTTAACACACAGGAACTGACAGTTGTGCTGCTTAGTTGCACACTCATCAAGATCTACAAGAAAGTGCAAGACGGGCATTGGAGTAGAGCTGACAGCACGCGTACCTAGAAGCTGCCTTAGGAGGAAGCTCTGAGTTTTCATCTCTCTGACTCAAGTGTGCCTGGCCAGAACAGAGCCAAGCAAATGGCTGGGAGCACCCAGGAGAGAAGAGTTTGAAAGATAAAACGTGGTCTCAATTTAGATTAAAAATGTAGCTCTTTGTGGGAATCCAAGGAAAACCCAATTCTCTTTAGTTAGAGGAAAGTGGGAATCCCTCAAGAGAGAAATTTCAGATCAGTTATAAAATTTTAAATAAACTTTAAATGAGGTAAGAGACTAGGTATTCTCAAAAGATTTCCAGAATGTTGAAAAGATCTATTTAAGCTGAAACGTAAAAAAAATGTTGAGGCTGAAAATTTGTTCACTTCATTCTTTGCTGTTTTTTATTCTGCTTAAAGGAGTTGGTCAACCAAACCAAACCAAACAAAACAAAACTGACTTTTTGTTTAGAGATCCTCCTTGGGATAAAAGAAATTGAGCAATCAGGAAGGGAAAAAAGGAAAGAAAAATACTCATTCCGATAAAACTGCCTACAGATTATTCCTCACGTCTCAATAAAATCCTCCCCTTTGACCAGGCTTCTTTCCTCACTGCCAGAAAGTTAAGGTTCATTCTCAACTCCATTGCTATAAATAACGTCAGGAGATACCAAGTGGGTTCCAAATTTAAGTAGAATTTCAATTTTAAAAAATCACTGAGAATGCAGGACCCTTCCTCCCTTCTTCCCGCTTTCTCTCCCTCCTTTCCTCTGCTCCCTACTTCCACTCCATCGCACCATTTAACTTCTTTATTTCCCTCTTTCCCCTTCAAGACTTCATGGCAGAATACTCTAACTCTTGTTCTGCCATCTGGTCTACCTTCTCCAAATCCCTCATTTTCCAAATTATCCTTAAGTATGATGCACTAGTGTATTCACTCAATATATGGAGTCCTTAATGTTGAGGAGGTTGTTCACAAGAGTACGTTTACACCAACAGAATTTTGCAAAAATCCTGGGTCGATAAGGGATTTTTGTTGAAGCTTTGGCTGCTTCTTAATTCATTGTGACATTTATGTCTCAGATCAGCTCCTGCAGGGCAGGACCTTGTAGAACTGGTCCTGCTGCCTCTGAGAGGCTCAGGGAAGGCCCCCATGGGGCACACAGTAAGCATAGATGCTGCCACTGGTCCTCTGCCATCTCCCTTCCCTCCCACATAGGGAGCCTCCATCCAGGCTCTAACACCAGGGGGGCACCTCTTGTGTGTAGAGAGGATCTTTCAGCAACCTTGTGCCCTGGAGGCAGGTGAATGGGTGAAGGCACATTTTACTTTACCTTTGCAGCTCCTTCCATCATCCTGCAGAATGTAACCTTTAGGGCAGGAACACTGGTAACTCCCTTCTGTGTTTTTGCAGATAAAATTGCAGGGTTTGGGAGCCTGGTTGCATTCGTTCAGGTCTATGATCAAAGAGATACAGTGTGACTACCTATCTGAAAAGATGCATAGATATCAATACCCACAAGGTCGAACAAAGAATTTTTGTTTTGAGAAAAAGTAAACTCTGTGAAATGTTTGATCCTTGTCTTATGTTTTCTTATGAATTTACACAGGCTTTTTAGATTTTTTTAGTTTGAGGATTTTTTTGCCATAATCTACAATTTTATCTAGCGTTAATAAACCAGAAGAAACAGAATACTTACCTACGCAGGCAGTCCCCGTGATGTCGGGAGTGTAGCCGGTTTTACAAATGCAGTGATATGATCCTCTGTCATTGACACATTCCCCATTTTTGCAAACGTCATGGATAACTCTGCACTCATCAATATCTGTAATTTAATAAACAGAAATTTAAAAAGGCATTAAAATGGACAACAATAATATGTAAGGATCACTTCAGTGTAAGTACTAATGAACTATGTTACTAAATTATGGACCTAAGAAATTCAACGAAAGGAATGACAGCATACATTTCACATGTAATGGTAACTATTTTGAAAGGCAAAGAATAACTTTATCAGACTGTAGTGGTAAACTAATCAGGCTAGGAGAAAACTTTAAAAATAATTCCTTTCTAAATTTATACCGTTTTCCTCCTGTGGGTCACAGAACATCTACCTCATCTAGACATATTTAGCTCCTTGCGCCATCTCACGGCATCAAGCTCACTTCAGGCTGATGTTCCAAACGTGAATCGCAGCAGTGGATCCTTCTGACAAGGAAATCCCACTTTTTTTCTAATATTGCATGTCCAAAATAAGGAGGAAGGTTTTTTTCTATTCTTTTTGTTGTGTTTAAAGTTAATCCTAAAGAATATCAAATCACATTGTTGGGGGAAATTGGACTAAACTTCACTTCTTTGGTGGGGAGGCCCAGGACTCTGGGGTGGATTCCTGGGCCTTTGTGGCCTGCTAAGGAAGAGAGAACCCCACTCACAGCTCCACCAAAGGAGATTTGCACTGTTGAGCATTAAAGCCACTGTCCACCCCATCTTGACCCACCTATCCACTTACTGCTCGGTGGGGGCCAATACCAGCGATTTCTTCACTTTTGATTGCCAAATAACCATTTTGTACCAACAGCTAATATTTTTCCTGAAATTTTTCAAGTTTACTCTGAAGTGAAATTTAGCCTACCCTCATTGGTCTCAAGAAATGAGTGTTTTCCACCATTTCAATTTTTCCTCCAAAAAATCATTACATATTGGCGCACTAGTTTAGGAATTTAATGTACATTTATTTTAAAATTTATCTAAAAATTATGTTCTGAATAAACAACAACACTTACAAGAAACTTTTGTTTAAAAAGTTGAAGACTCCTGCTCTGCCCAGGTAGCTCAGCTGGTTGGAGCATCATCCCATACACCAAAAGGCTGTGGGTTCAATACCCAGTCAGGGTGCATGTGGGAGGCAACCAATCAATATTTCTCACCCCTCTCTCTCTCTCTCTCTCTCTCTCTCTCTCTCTCTCGAAAGGGGCAATGGGAGATTACATTTTCTCCATTCAAACTACCACTCTCATGTTATTTCAAACCTCTATAACCAGATGATTAAAACTGTGCAAAAACATCTTCACAGAATGGGACAGTCTATACAAACCAATAAAAGGGAGCAGCAAACTCCGATGGAATGACCTGAAGGCACTGTACCCTAATGAGCAACACTCTTCTCCTCTGGCCATTTCTTTCTACCTAATTAAATACATTTTAATATGGAAATAATTACAAATAAGTTTAAACTGAATAATCTTTACTTACAAATATTTTACTCCTCATTTAGCAACTATTCCAGTTTTTTCCTCTGCAAAAGATTGGGCATTCTACAGAATAAGCTTTTTAAAAACTTTGCCAAAAAAAATGTCTCTATACCTCTCCCTCTCTCTCTCTGTCTCTCTCTCTCTCGTCTCTCTTCCTTTCTTGCTAAAAAATCAATAAAAACATATCCTCAGGTGAGGATTTATAAATAGATAGATAGATAAATAGTTGAAGACTCCTTATAAAGCAGAGGCAGGAACCCTAGCACACACAACTTATTCAGGACACTTTGGCAACATGGCCTTGAATATCTAAAATATCGTAATGAAGAATTTTTGTCAACTTCCACTATGCAACTCAGCCTAGGTTCATATTGCAGATTCCATATTCTCTGTTTTTTATAGAACAAAAACAAATTCCCTGCAAGTATTTTTGGACAAAATGAATTACCTGCTCCATTGGTAATGAACCAGAACAAAGGGAAGTACCTGTTCCATTGGTCATGAATCCTCGGCCATGGGGGCAGAGTTTTTTGAAAGCCACAGTCCCCTGGAAAGGGCAGATCTCACACTGGGGACCCCAGCCTCTCCCTCCGTCACAGCAGCACTCCGACTTGGTGACGGGGTTCCTGTTGCTCGAACCGATCTGGCACATGTTCTGGAGCACCTCCGTGAAGCAGTACCCTTCCCGGTTGTCTGGAAGGGACATTATATTAAAAGGAAGATTTTAGGAAATGTTCTAAGCACAGCAAGCTATAAAAAATTTGGTCAGATATGAAACCCACAAGGGATATAACACTTTACCCTGGTGAGAAGGAGCGAGAAGGGAAAGCTGGAAACTGCAGTGAGAGAGAAAGGATGACATCTGAGGAGACAAATAAGAAATTCAGTAAGCAGGCAGAAAAGCATTGGTCTGGACCAGGTTGTGACTCTATCTGCTCCCAGAACTATAGTCACGCCATGGAAGCAGAGAAACATATGGAAGCATCCTGAGCACCAAGGGTTTAAAAAGGCAGAAGGAAACTTCAAACAAGTGATTCAGTGATACAATCAGTAAAAGAAGAACTGAGCTGCAGGGTGGCGCTAAGCCAATGGACAATCAATCACTGAATCCTCTCCCAAATAGGAACATCTTCAACCTTTCCTGAAATTTTGACAGTCTCTATTATGTCAAAGAAGAGATCTGGGTTCTAAGCACCCCAGTGTGGAGCCGGTTGCAAAGGCATCCCGCTGCACGTACTCACCAAGGCACTCATCCTGGGCGGGGCTGGCTGTGAAGCCATCGTTGCACTCGCAGGTGTAGCTCCCCCGCGTGTTGAGGCAGCGCCCATTCTCACAGATGCCTGGCTTGGTCTGACATTCATTCTCATCTGCGCGGTTTCATCGAAGGACCGAAAACAAGAGGAGTCATCTGACCACTTTGTACAAGAATGGACTCTTTCTTTCTTTTTTTAAATTTAGTTTGCGAATACTAGGTAAGCTATCACATGGTCCCAAATACAAAAAGTATAAGAACATAATTCAGCAAAATTTCCCCTTTCTCCCTATCCCCCAGCCACCAAATTCCCCTCCAAGGAGTCAACTGCGTTACTAATGTGTCTTCCCAGAGATGAATTGCACACATACAAGCAAATACATACATCTGTGTGTGTACCTCCACCCTTTCAAAAGCATAATTGATGGCATTTTCATATACTTAAAACATAGATGATAGTATTTTATGTACACTTCCAGTTTTTCATTTCATAAAATTTAAAATGTTTCATATCTGTACGTAAAGGGGATTCTCAAAGGATCATTTCAAATGAAGGGGAAAAAATTTTAATTTTAAAATCAACATATTGAAGAAATATTGCAATACTTCAGTAGAATAATATCTGCAATGGTCAGCTACAACCTAAGGAAGTTATCTAGACTAACCTTCCAGTTCAATATAGATTATGTTTATTATAATACTTCAACAATGTTCTTAAGAAAGGATAAATCATAGTTCAATCTCCCAGGTTCAGAGAAAAGCATTCAAATAGCTTGAGTTTCTTAGACGTGTCTGATGAAATAATTTGACTAGGTGCATCCCATTTGAAAGAATAGTTCCAACCCCTGAGGCACAGATCTCAAAAAGAGAGGCAGGGAGTTGGAAGGTGACACCTAGAGAGGGCTAGAACCGGTTAAAAACCCAGTGGCAGACCGGGTGATTCAGAATCTCTGGCGTGGAACGCAAGCTCTCCGACTCCGATGTGCCGCTGAGAGTCAGCAGCACAGATCCCAGAAGACCCAGAATGGGATCATCAGTCCACACCCTTTTCCTGTGCTTTTAAAGTCTGCTCTTTAATGACTATTTAATTCAGTTTCTTACAGAGGAAGGGGATGGTGAGGTCCTTAAGATTCTTGACTGACAACATAAAATATGTTTTCTAATGTCACTGATTATTAAAAAGGAAAGGGACGCATGTGGGAGTTTTCTAGTAATTTTCTCCTGTATTTCTTGTCTAAAGCAGTGGTCAGGAAACTTTCTGTAGGTAATACTAATACTACAGTATTACTATAAATATATAGTAAATTTTAGGCTTTGCAGGCCATATGGTCTCTGTTGCAAGTGCTCTGCTCTGCTCTGCCACTGTGGCAGGAAAGCAGGCATGGACAATAAGTAAATGATTAGAGCTATATTCCCATACAACTCCATTTAAATAAACAGGTGGTGGGCTGGCAGGCTGGATTTGAACCTCACACTGTGGTGTGCCAACCCCTAGTCTAAAGCTGTGGTTTTTAATGCTGGATCCACATGAAAGGAACTTGGGGGAGCCTTAAAATATCATTGCCTGGGACCCACTCTGCACAATACCATTCTCTGGAGGTAGATCCCACTCGTTTAGTGATGTTCCTTGTTCAGGACCTGGCATCAGAACTCAATGTCAGGGTACTGGTAGCAAAGTTGGGTCAACAGGGAGACATTCCAGTGCAGTAAGTGGAACTGACCCCAAAACAAAAGAGTACAAAAATGAGGAGGAAGGAAATAGAGGAAACACCCAATATTCCAATCCTGGAAGCAAAATGGGCTGAGAAAGTAGGCAAAGGCCAGCTCAGAGGGAGAAAATCACAGAGCTCATGGGATTCACAGATCATCAAGAGACAAGGGGCCCCCCACTGGAAGTTATGGCATGAGGTTGAGAGGGGCAAAATGGCTCTGGCCAAGAAGAACATAGCACCCATAAGGATTCAGCCCAAGTTTGTCCTTTGTCACTTCTGACTCACACAGAGCTCCTTCTGCAGGGATACTCTTACCTACGCAGGCTTCCCCGTCAGGTGTGCGCTGATACCCAGGTCCGCAGATGCAGATATACGTGCCAATGAGGTTCTTGCATTCCATTTGCTTTTCAGCACAGTCATGTTTCAACTCTTCACACTCATCCAGGTCTGGAAAGAATGTGCAACCACAAATTTATAAGAGAAGCTGCATTAATTTCTTGCATTTTACACATAAAACAGTATTAAGTAACCTATTTCCTTTTGCATTGTTGGACGCTGTGGCCTCCCAAGAATGAGAAGAGGTCTTCTAACCACGTATGAACTTGAAGAAATTGCTCCCTAACTAACTGGGAACCTCTTCAAAAAGCAGGAAGCATGATTTTTAATACTTTTTGATTAATTGAATATCTCCATCTCAACCTCCTCATATAGAACTTCCTGAATGTGGGGAAATGTCTTTTCTTTCTGTCTTCACATTTGTGGCATGGCTGGCATGCAACGCAGAGTGAACTTAAAGGGATCTGCAGTGCAGCCCTCAACTCAGCTTGAAGCCTCAAGCAACAATTTACTAGGAAAGGTAGCAATGACAACCCTCATAATGTCCATGACTACAGCAGTGTTCCCCAATTCCCACCCCTCCTCTATGATTGGAAGCTTTGGAGGGACATCTCCCATCATCGTGGTAGAGCTCCCTGGCTTGTATGACCTTGAACATGAATGTCTCACCTTTGCACATCCTCCTGTCTTCTCTCAGGACATAGCCAGCAGGACATTTGCATTCATACGACCCATAAGTGTTTACACACCGGAAAGCACAGAGCAGAGGATTCTGGGCACACTCGTTTACATCTGCAGCAGAGGTAGTAAGAAAATAATGGGTCATGGACATCAACCAAAAACAAAAGGAATATACTTTTACCAAAAGCTGAAATGCTTCATTGTTATAAACATGGGTGGACCAAGCAGTCTCTGGTTTTCAGGGAGTTATAAAATGATCTGGTTATTTTATAACTGGTATCAGTAGGGTGGCCATGCACCCCGATGCTCCCAGCACAGTCAAGTTTATGGTTGTTATTCCTGTGTAATTATGAATTGTTATTTAGATGGATGAGGTCACCTGTATAGAGGGAGCTGTTCTAAAATTCTTGCTTTGAAGCCTCAAGATGATCACTTGCCACCCCCAAAGTCACATGGAGTGGCGATCAGTTTTACCCCATTCAGCCCAAACAAGTGCCAAGTCAATTGCTGTCAGGACAGAAGCAGACCCCTCCATGACTGTTAAACACTTCCCTTTCCCCATATAGAAGAGGCTTCTGTTAAATAACAGTGTTCCTTATACCCATGCAAATAGTGTCCTGAATTATTAGACACTTACAGAGATACCTAGTTCCCACTGATGCCCAGGTTAGAGCCTTCAATAGGTGGGAATGACTTTACTGTTAGTGGGTCAAAGTGATTTTTATAGATTTCATAATTTGAAAACATCAGAATGTGTTTTTGGAAAATCAGGGTTAAAACAGACCATCTTGATGATCATGTTTCTCCCTAAGGCCACTGATGCCAACTGAGATCATCAGTGAGACCCCAGATGATGACTAGTTACAGCCTTGGAAGGTCCACTCACAACCTCAACAATGGGTACCGATGGGCCATATTTCTAATGCAGAGCTCATTTTAATAGCAACTTTACTCTCTGCCTTCATTTTCCCTTCATGCTTTTCTTAGACCAGTGGTTTTCAACTAGAGAACACATCAGAATCACCTGGAGGGCTGCCAAGCCCCAATCTTAGAGTTGTTGATTCAGGAGGTCTGGGATGAGGCCTAAAAGTTTGAAGCCCTAACAAGTTCACAGGTGATGCTGATGTAGCTGGTCCAGGGACCATCCTTTGAGAACCACTCTTCTAGATACTCTCTCCCTTTGCTTTCTTTCCATACAGTCTTCCAGCCACACTGGCAGACACGTATACCATATAGGCAATCTCTTTTGCTGTGATGGCTGCAGGATGTTGGTGGTTACCTCAGTGGGTAGATGTTTCTATGAATAGAAAAGAAAAAGCAGAGAAGAAAAAGAAAGGGAGCATGGAAGATGAAAATTAAGACAGAAGGGGAAAATGGAAAGTACGAAAGAAGGTAATAAACAAGACCGGAGTTGTATACAAATATCAGTAGTAGAGAGACCACCAAGAACTGCATGATCTGCAGCATAACTTGTGCCATGAGCCATCTGTATCTTTTTCAGATACTCCCTGCAGAGAGGAGGCCACACAGAGAAGAAAAGATGGAATGGCCCATCCGGCCCAGATGTTTTTTATTCTATACATCCCGAGTGGTATTTCATATTAAGGATTATAATTAACCAACTGTTGCTTCCAAGATCAGAACATGTAACCAACTATTATGAATTTAAGAGTCTTACCTTCACAAGTCATCATTGGACCAGGCTCAAATCCTTCCTCACAGGTGCATTCAAACCCTCCAATCACATTCTTGCAAGTTCCATTTCCACAAGGATTGCCCACAGAACATTCATCAATATCTGCAGGTGACCAAGAGAATATTCGAAACACAATGAATGAGAGAAAACGGGCTTGGCCTCAGATAATACCTTTTATTCTATCAGAATACTTTGATCTGTAATATTTTATTCTCATTCTGTCCTTGCAGAGAAGGAATGCACATGTCCTATTGCCACAGGTTTGTCGCTGTAAAATCCAACTTGCTAAGTGGCAGTGGCAGTGACAATGACAGTGACAGTAGCTGGGTTTCTAGCTCTCATAGTGCGCCGTGAGTTTCTCCAGCCTCCCACACGATAAAGAAGTATATCTTCTAGTGCGTATAGATGTTCAAAGGGTTAAAGCAATGCTTCTCTCACAAGTCAAAAGTTTTTACTTACTTAAAGCTAGAAATACATCTCCAGCTTGGCCTTACATTACATCACTCTCCAAGAAGCCTTAAACATGATGGAGCATTGCCAGATATAAAATAGAAGACTAAACTGACGCAAAATAAGAGACCAGAGGTTAAGCAAAATTAATACACTGGATAAAATCAAGACCCAAGTAGATTTTGTTGATTCTGTTGAAGCCAGATGGTTTACATTAGGCAGAAGAAAGTCTAGAAAGAAATATATTTAGGGTCTGATCTCTCTAAATAACTATAGAGAGAGAACAAGTTTTACCAAGGAGGTCCAAAAAATAGACATGCTTCCCAACTCATCCATCTAGAATCCTCATTCTAAAACGTCTTCCTTTGTGTGTGTGTGTGGGGGGGGGGATTGAAAAATAACATTGTATTTTAGCTATGTAGGGCACAGAAAAGTAGTAGACTAGCATCAAAGGTTCTGTCTTCTGTTGGTCCCTGAATTCATCAAGTGAAGACAAGAGACTGTGGTAGAGAGACTCTGGGTGAGGAGGCTCATGTCTCATCCATAGTAGCACTAACTGAAGATGCCAGAGAGAAAACATTGATGACTTTGCTTTCGTTCTGCTATGAACTTCCATTTCACTATAAGGAATGTCATATCTCCTTTAAGTTAATAATCACAATATCATTGATTTTTAGAGTTATAAGGTAATTAGAAATAACTTGGTCCATCTGCGTAATATAACATTCTAAGGCCTAAAGAACTTGCTTCAGCTCCCAGAGGTATCACTGCAGCTGAAATCCTCACACCCTGATTCCCAGTGTGGAAAGAACACTTTCTAATATACACAGACTCTTAGCATTTATGCCATTATTAATTCAGGTTTGGATTTCTTAGATAAATAGACATAATACTTGGATTCCATGTGGAGTTAGTGTGAATTAAGAGGTCAAAGGTCAGCCATAGAAGTCATTCTTTGAAATTTCAATAAGAAGGTTAAAACAGCCCTAACTGATTTGGCTCAGTGAATAGAGCATCAGCCTTCGGACTCAAGGGTCCCTGGCTCGATTCCGGTCAAGGGCATGTAACTTGGTTGCAGGCACATCCCCAGTCGGGGATGTGCAGGAGGCAGCTGATCGATGTTTTTCTCTCATCAATGTTTCTACTGTCAATCCCTCTCCCTTCCTCTCTGTAAAAAATCAATAACATATATATATATATATATGGTTAAAACAAGGGGAAATACACTGGGTACATAGCATTTCATATTACTATGTGCAATAAAATCTGGGCAAATTTTGTATTTTATATCTTGAGAGAATAAGATTATGACCATTAATATTTTTTAATTTCAGAAGACTTTCATTATAATATTGTCCTTTCCACTATCTTTTCAAATGTGTCCAGCATCTGTCTTTCCCATTAGACTTAAGGTCCATGCAAGGAAGGACCTTGTTGTCTTGATTCACTTCTGTAGTCATAGAGCCAAACAAAGTGTCTGGCACATAGTGGGGCCTCAGCTAATACTGCTAGATGAATGATACATAAACGAATGAACAAAATTTATTTCTGTTCCATCTTGGTACTTGTACTTCCTGGTGTGAATGCTGGAGAGCAAGCATGTCAAACTTGTGGCCCATGGGCCGCATGTGGCCCAGCCAATATAACAATATGTAAGAAATGTTTTAAATAAAAATTTTGTAACTTAATTTTTACAATATCCTGTTATACATAATTATTAATAAGGAACTACAACATTCCCTAATGACTGATTACTATAATCGTGTTGCATTCATTTCCCTTACGCGCCTTACGCGCAGGCACACCATTTCTTTCCACTAATACTAGCAGCGAATATTTTAGCAGCCAATTGCCACGTCATTAGTGTTGGCTCAGCGAATAGAGCATCAGCCTGAGTTGTTTGGTGTGGCGCAACAGGAAATACTTCGCTTTCGAAGAATAAGAAAAATAGGTTTATTTGAGTTATGCTTATTAATTTGTGCAGTTATTCAGTGTCTGGTAAGTTAATGTTCAAGAAAAAAATATTAATTTTTATTAAAATATTCTATTTTGTTATGTTAACGATTACTCATTTATTTCAGCCCTTTGTATTCAGCATGTCTCTATCAAAATAAATGTACACTTCTATGAAAATTGAAGCTTTTGGTTTTTTGTGGCCCACGTAGACTTAAACCTTGTTTATTTGGCCCATGTTAGACTTTGAGTTTGACATGCTTGCTGTAGAGCTTAATTTTTAACTTGTAAAACCCCAGTGGAAGAAACGGATTCATCACTCACCTACACATTCATTCCCCTCCAGAATGTAACCAAAGGGGCACTCGCAGCGGTAGGAGCCATCCGTGTTGATACACTGCCCGTGTTTACAGACATCAGGTTCTTTGCATTCATCCATATCTTAAGCAAAGGAGAAGGGAAAAGTAAATAACAAGGTATTTAAAAACACACACACACACACAGGTAAATTATAATCATTTCAGTGTTTAATCCATGGAATAGTTATTACAATACAATATCGCAAATACAATACAAAATACAATTGATACCTAAATGAGAAGACAAAGAAATAGAGCTTACTTTTTGAAGACAGATGTGAAGAAATAAGAACAACTGGAAATGAGCAAGGAAGAGGCTAGTTGATACTTAGAAATGCTGAGAATCTAGCACAGGCCACTCACCAACTGCTGAATCATCAGGTCCCACAATGATCCCACTTCCATAGGGACAGATCTGGCGGAAGGCCTCTGTGGTGGAGACATACTCGTGAATAGATAGATCAGTGGCACCAGCCACAGGCTCCTCCCCAAGCATTTTGTGGCGGCCAAACTGCCACATGCTGCACATATTGGGAAACAATGAACGGGACAAGCCCAGAAACCAGAGACAGTTAACGAGGTCCCAGAGCTGCCGTGCCTACTACTTGGGCAGCTCCAATTCATAACATAGTTTAGAAGAAAAGAACTACCTAGCTCTTGAGGAAAAATAATTTTAAAGAATATTTTAGTTAGACTTACAATTAAATTAAGGTCTTGCTTATTTTGTGGCCAGTGTGCACCCTGAATGGGCCAAAGAGAAACACAGATGTAAACATACCATCGGGCTCAGTGGGACACAGCTCACAGGGATCTCCCCAGCCTTCTC